TTGCAAATCTTACAGGCAGTTTCTAGCATTGATTTCAATTTTCAAAGTTTATATGGTATAGTGCTATAAACTAATCATATCCTGAAAATTAAAAGTAAAGAATGCTATAAACTAATCATATCCTGAAAATTAAAAGTAAAGAATTCATTAATTTTTTTTGTATTTTGGGAGAGAAGTTATTAGAAAGATTAAGAGGGAAAGATGAATATATGGTGTTCTCTTAGTTTTTTCCCTCAGAAGTAACTTTAGGAGATAAAAAATAAAGTGGGTTCTCTGCTCTTAAGGCCCAAACATTTTGCTCTTAAGGCCCAAACATTCTATTATATATCGGTAATTCATCTTTACCCAATTCACTTTTACCCAACTTTACCCAACTTTACCGATTCTATCCAATTTTACCGTTCTAACCAACTTTGCCGATTATAACCAACTTTACCGATTCTATCCAATTTTACCGTTATAACCCACTTTGCCGATTATAACCAACTTTACCGATTCTACTCCTTTTTTTTCACTCAATGGCTTCACCTTCCCCGATAAATGCAAGCTTATGGAAGGTAGTTGCGGGTCCAATCTTTTTCATTCCATCCCCTGGTTCAGCGGTGATTTATTACCCGGAGGCCCATTGGTTCCATTCGTGCTGTGGTACCAAATTGTCTTCCGTTCTCCCTTTCGTTCCAGAATTTCTCTCACTTTGTACCCTTCTTCTTCCGTTCTCTCTCTGGTACCCGGAGGCCAGAATTTCTCTCACTTTGTATCCTTCTTCTTCCGTTCCAGTTCGTCTTCCCCCTTTCATTGTCTTGCTGTTTCTTCTTCCCCTTTCCTTCTCCTTTGCTGCCTCTCTCCCTCAGCTCCATTTTTACACCATTAGAATCAAATTTAAGGTCAAACATTTGTTGGTTTTGTGACTGATTTATGTTAGTTTTTTTTTTATATTTTTATTATTATTAACTGTTTTTTTTTTCCAGATCTAACATCCATTGGAAGTTTTAAAAGTTAGCTCAGAGGTATTTTAGCAATTTAATTTGTTTATATTTATTGTGTATTGTGTTGTTGTGGTTGAAATTTTGAGAGTTAGGTTAGAAAATTTTAGGTTTTAGAAACTTTGAGGTATTTGGAAGTTTTGAGAACTTTGGTGATATATGTATTGTGTTTTTTATAAGCATTTTAAATTTTAAATTTTATATGGTATTGTGCTTTTATGTATTGTGAATTTATTTTAGTAAATATAAAAGATATAGGTATTTAGTGAATTATAGAAAAAGATTTACTATAAGTTACAGAGTATTATAAAACTGTTTTTAATTTGCCAATGGTATTAAATTATAGAAAAAGATTTATTTTAGAAAAACTGAATTTTAGAAAAATATTTATTTTAGAAAAACAGAAAAACAGAAAAATATTTGGTATAATATAAAACAGATTTTATTATAAAAAATATTAGTGAATACATATTACTTTATTATTTTAGTAAAATAAAAAATATTTTAGTGAATATAGAAAAACAGATTTTATTAGAAAAATAAATTATAGAAAAATATTATTTTAGTGAATTTATTATTTTAGTATAATATAAAACAGATTTTATTTTAGTGAATATAACAAATATTTTAGTGAATATAGAAAAACAGATTTTATTATAAAACAGATTTTAAATTTTTTCTTCAAGATTATAAGTTATAGGTATTTAGTGAATATAATTTGCCAATGGTATTAAATTATAGAAAAAGATTTATTTTAGAAAAACTGAATTTTAGAAAAATATTTATTTTAGAAAAACAGAAAAATATTTCGTATAATATAAAACAGATTTTATTATAAAAAATATTAGTACATATTACTTTATTATTTTAGTATAATAAAAAATATTTTAGTGAATATAGAAAAACAGATTTTATTAGAAAAATAAATTATAGAAAAATATTATTTTAGTGAATTTATTATTTTAGTATAATATAAAACAGATTTTATTTTAGTGAATATATATTACTTTAAATATATATTAGTATAATATATTATTTTAGTGATTTATATTTTACTTTAACACGTATTAGAACTAAAACACGTATTAGCATTTGAAATATCAACTTTGAACACATATGAGTCAATAATTTACAATCTATAATTTTTTTAATACCATTGGCAAATTATTTATACTAAATACCTATAACATATGTACACCCCTAGTTTTTAGATAATATATGATAGGAGGTTGAATGAGTGGTTTTTGGGTTAGAATATATCATATGAAACATAAGTCGAGATGAATATATGAGATGGATATTATATATGTTAGGTGTTAGCCCACACACTTAACACATCCATCACATTTTTGCTATCATATTGAAGAGGTTAGGTCACACACACTTAACACACCAATCACACTTATGCTATCGTACAAAATTGATATCTTAAGGGGAAGAAATAACAAAAAAAAAGAGAGAATTGAGGAGGTTAGGTCCACACACTAAATTTGTTTATGTTTATATTTATTGTGTATTGTGTTGTTGTGGTTGAAATTTTGAAAGTTAGGTTAGAAAATTTTAGGTTTTAGAAACTTTGAGGTATTTGGAAGTTTTGAGAACTTTGGTGATATATGTATTGTGTTTTTTATAAGCATTTTAAATTTTAAATTTTATATGGTATTGTGCTTTTATGTATTGTGAATTTATTTTAGTGAATATAAAAGATATAGGTATTTAGTGAATTATAGAAAAAGTTTTACTATAAGTTACAGATTATTATAAAACTGTTTTTAATTTACCAATGGTATTAAATTATAGAAAAAGATTTATTTTAGAAAAACTGAATTTTAGAAAAATATTTATTTTAGAAAAACAAAAAAACAGAAAAATATTTCGTATAATATAAAACAGATTTTATTATAAAAAATATTAGTACATATTACTTAATTATTTTAGTATAATAAAAAATATTTTAGTGAATATAGAAAAACAGATTTTATTAGAAAAATGAATTATAGAAAACAGATTTTATCATGTGACTAAATATTTATCATGTGAAAAACAGATTTTATCATGTGACTAAATATTTATATATTTTAAATGTATATTATTTTAATTAAAAATTATTTTAATTTTAAATTTATATTTAATATTTAATTTTTATTTTAATTTTATAGTAACTTTCAGTTAGTATTATTTATTTATTTTATAATTAAATTTAATAGTGAAGTGAATTCCATGTCACTAATTAGTGATGTGGGAATCACATGGGAAGAATATTAATTCTGTGAGGTTTCCCACGTGATAACAAGGTCACAACTTTGTGACGTGGGAATCACATGGGTACTAAATTTACTTTGTTAATTTGGTAAAGGTGAGTTCCCATGTCTTTCACGTCACTAATTAGTGACGTGGTTTTCACGTGGGAAGTTTTTTTCTTTATTTTGTGATTTGCGACGTGGTAAACCTGTCACAACTTTGTGACGTGTTTTCCACGTGGGAAAAAGTTCCCACCATTGCATTTCCGGCGTGTTTTACCCACGTCGCAACCATTGGCTAGTGAAGTGATTTTAACATAGTGACGTAAATATCACTTGGAAATAGACAATATTTCTTGTAGTGTTGGTGGAGAATTTATCAGAGACAGACGGGTACTTTGGTCACTTATTGCGTGCCTACTCTTGCAAAATTGAAGCCATATCCTTTTTTGCAGACAATTTTACGGATGAAGTATTCGCAGCTGTGAGTTTAGTGTCATCAATTGATGACAGGCAAGAAGAAATTGAAGAAGCTTCCGATGTGATGAGTTGGGAACATGATCTATCAAGGGAAGATCTCAAGAAATTGGATTTATCCTTTTTAAAAGGTAATGTTTTTACTCAGTCCAAGTCTTCTGTAACCAACGTCAAAGTAATGGACGTGCACCAAAAAGTATGGCGCTTTTGCCACAGATACTGTGTGTTAAGGAAGAAAAGTTTTTTTAGATGAAGATTGGAAAACTTTCTTGGAAACAAAGACTCTAGATGTAGATGATACAGTCATCTTTGTTACCGGCATTAAGAACGACATTTATATCTGTCTGCGTCGAGCCATGCCAATTATCTCTATGAAGGCTGAAGCAAAAAATTTAAGTAAAAATGAAGAACTAGATTTCAAGGGGTATAATGTTTTTGACTGTGTGAGCCATCTTGCCAGCGGGAAGAAATATGATTTTGAATTTTATCCGGGTACCCATTTCTTCGTGGATCCGTGGTATACCAACGAGGATACCCCTATACCATAGGTTTGAAAGTCCAATATATAAAAGGAATGGATGTAGTTAGAAAAGGAACAATTACTGGTGTACGTCATTCAGAAACAATGTGGAGAATGATTGAGGTGAGGTATTTTAACGGATATTTTTTTATTTAAAACTTAAAAATGAAGATATATTGATTTATATTTTTTGATTTTTTTAAGATAAAGTTACATTGCGAAGAATACACTAGAGACGTAAGTCCATGGGAGCTCCACGAGAGACGTAAGTCCATGGAGCTTTACGTGGAGCAGGAGCAGGAGTAACTGAAGGATCTGCTGGAATTATGGTTGTATGTTTAGAGATAGAGTTTAAATGCTTGTATGGTTGTAAAATAGAGATTGGTTTACTTAAATAAATGTAAGAAAATAAAGTAGAGGCTAATTTTGTCCATTAAAATGTTAAAATAGAATCCAAAATTCAAAATCGCGCGTCAAAACAACTCCACAAAAATGCGTTACCATCATGAGTGACAGAAAAAGAAACAAAGCACGAGCCAGCCAGCCTTTCAATTTTTCTAAATTAATAAAATTAATAAATCAAAAATAGTTTTCCTTTTTTTACAAAAAGAATAAAATTAATTAAAAATAGTTAACCCCCACCGTCCACTCAAACCAAAAAACCGCTATTTCTTGATTTCTTCTTCTCATTCACATCCACACTTTGTATCATTTCTATCTCATTCTCTCTCTTCTTTCTCTCTTCTTTCTCTCTCTACGATTCCAAAACTAGATTCTCCGATGGCCACCGCACCAACACCGCGTGAAGAGTTCGTCTACATGGCGAAACTCGCCGAACAAGCCGAACGTTACGAAGAAATGGTGGAGTTCATGGAAAAAGTAACCGCCGCCGTGGAAAGCGAGGAACTCACTGTCGAGGAAAGGAACCTCCTCTCCGTCGCTTACAAAAACGTGATCGGAGCACGACGCGCTTCGTGGAGGATCATCTCCTCCATCGAACAGAAGGAAGAAAGCAGAGGCAACGACGAACACGTGGCGGTCATCCGTGATTACAGATCTAAGATCGAAACTGAACTTTCCAACATCTGTAACGGTATTCTCAAACTTCTTGATTCACGTCTCATCCCTTCTGCTGCGCTAGGTGACTCCAAGGTTTTTTACCTTAAGATGAAAGGTGATTATCATAGGTATCTTGCTGAGTTTAAGAGCGGCGCTGAGCGTAAAGATGCCGCTGAAAGCACTCTCACTGCTTATAAATCTGCTCAGGTCTCTTTATCTTTCCGATCTATATATATTTTCTCTTTACGGATCTATATCTATTTTCTTTAATTTTTTTGAATATTTTTGTCTATTTTATTTTGTTATTTAGCATAATATTGATTATTGTTTTACTTGAATAATTAATTATTTATCTGGCTAAGAGTTATATTTTTGTAAATTTGTGCTGTAAATAACATATTCAGATCTAATTGATTTTTCAGTTGAATAAAAAATTGTTAATTGGATTTTTGTTCCATTTTAAGATCCTGATGATTTTTTGAGTGTATTATGATTGGTTTGTTGTTAAGAAAAAGATGCTTGCTTGCACTTGGTTGGATGATTTTTTTCTAATATGTTAGGATGATAATATATATGTTTTGGTAGCTTAAAGTACAAATTTAAAGTGATCAATTTTTTACATGTAAATAGCTTAGATAATTTTCTCTTTTGCAGATTGTGTATTTATTTGTTTGAAGCTTTTATAGTTTCTGTCTAATGCAATCTCTGGATTTTTTTTGTTTGTTTCTGATGTTTTAATTGGATTTTGCCTGTAGGACATTGCAAACACTGAGCTGCCTCCAACTCACCCTATCAGGCTTGGTCTTGCTCTGAACTTCTCCGTGTTTTACTATGAGATTCTTAACTCTCCTGACAGGGCTTGCGGCCTTGCAAAACAGGTTATTATTCTTGAGAAAATGAATAATGGGAGAAGATTATATGTGGTGTTGTTTCTTTCAATAAATTACCCTTCAATTAACTTTTCTTGGGTTGATGCTGTGTGAAAAACAAGATTATGGCTGTATGCTTTGATTTATTCTATTATGTTGTTTGTGAATTAGACTATTGTTGATTTCATTCAATTTCAAGTAATATTGTAATTTCATGAATGTTGAAATAAACTAGTTAGGATTTAGTTACTATATGAATCTATTGTTTGTTCAATGTTATTTCTGTATGTCCTACTGCTCTCTATAATGAACGGTTTGTACTAATGAACATTCCTGTTCATTTCTATATTCATTAGGCTTTTGATGAGGCTATAGCTGAGTTGGATACATTGGGAGAGGAGTCATACAAGGATAGCACTTTGATTATGCAACTTCTCCGTGATAACCTCACCCTTTGGACCTCTGATATGCAGGTATGATTTTTTTGTATGGTCAATGTCACCTCATTTTGTATCTTGTCATCATTTAATTTATCAATCACGAATTCAATTTATTGAATTTGGTTTTGTATTGTGTTTGGGTTTCAGGATGACGGTGCTGATGAAATCAAAGAAGCTGCACCTAAAGGCAACGATGAACCACAGTAAAATGTGTCATACTGCTAATTAGTTATTAAACTTCTCTTCTATCATGTTTTTAAAGGGAGAAGGTGCTGATTGATAATGTTGAAGCTACTGAGATTTTAGGCGTTCATGGTCTATTTTATGATATATGGATGCACTGGGCTTTTTTAGTTTGTCCTTCCATTTGTGTACGTGTTTCTGAATTGCCTGTTTTCTAAATGTCACTCAAATTTCTATCTTATGCAATTGGTTTAATAATGTGATTGTTTCCAAAGCTTGAAATCTCTATCAAGCTTCATCATTGTGTTTTGTGAAGACTGCACTTTTCACTGTTTAGACGGGTCTGCTCTTTTGAGGCTGGCTAAGACTGCACTTTTCACTGTTTAGAGCGCCGGCTAAGACTGCACTTTTCACTGTTTAGAGCGCTGTCTAGGCCAATAATATCTAACTTTTAAACCTTGTTTTGTATGTCGATGTTAGTTGATGCATTTGAAATAGTGAATGAATGGATATTAAAGACTGCACTCTGTTTGATAGGCTTATCAAGAAAAATAGATTTTGTTATGAGTATCAGCGGTTCACTAACAACCCTAAAAATTTCAAGCTTGGAAAAATATCATTAACCAATTAGTATAAACACAAGAATGCTAAACTGACCGGTGATCCTAGAAGATGAACTATGGAAAACAGGGGTTTTAATCCGTTGATGATAAAGGAAGATCAATGTAAATAGACTGGTAACTGGTACACTATGGGGAATCTTATTTTTACTTAGACATAGGGTCTGTTTGGTTTAAATGAGAGGGAGGGGAGGGGAGGGGAGGGATTTTAATGGAGGGGAGGTGAGGGATTTTTTTAATCAAATATGTGTTTAGTACAAAAGAGAGGAGGGGAGGGGAGGGGAGGAATTTTAATTAAAAATGTGTTTGGTTCAGAAGAGGAGGGGAGGAGTTTTATTAATAATTTACATTTTTATCCTTATAATTATATAAGTCATATGATAGTAAAATGTAAAAAATTCGTGCGTATTTTTGTTGGTAATAAATTTTTTAATATTAAATGATTAAAAAAGTATTTATTTGTCACAAAGTTTAAAAAATGAGTACAATTGATTCGACTTATAACTTTCTAACATAAATTAAACTATATGTCAATAACATCGTTTAAATTATGATGAATTATATAACAAAATAAATATATAAAATAACTTATTATTAAATATTAATGGTTCAAAATATTTAATAAAATGAATAAACAAAAATAAATAAAATGATATGATTTATAATTTGATATAAAAGAAAATATGATAGAGTACATAACAAAATTAAAAGAAAAAAATGAATATAACAAAATAATTTTTTTTATAAAAAATGACAATGATTATGATTTATATTAATTATAAAAATTATAAAATAATTTGAAAGTGTAGAACAATTATAATAAGTTGATAATAAGTTGATGAAAATAATTGAGAAAAAATATAACACAAAAGAAAACAAATAGTTTTGAAATACTGAAATTAAACTGAGGATGTGTTAGTAAATATAATAATTTTTTAATATTAAAACTCATGTTCCCTTCCCTTCAAATCCCTAAATTCGGACGGAACCAAAAAATGTGTTTTGGAGGAATTTTGCTCCCCTCCCCTCCCATTCTCTCCTAAAATTTGAAGCAAACATATTTAATTAAAAATTTTCTCTCCCCCCATTTTCCCGAATCAAACCCACCCATAATATCTATAGGTTATAATCACATAAAACAAATTTCATACAAAGCAAAGAGCACCCCACATCCATATGATTTTTTTTATGATATTACAACATCAAGTTATAGTCAACATTTTATTATTTTATATATTCTTTTCTTTCAATTCACAACTAAAGATCTTGTGCTTTACTATGAAACCATTTTCAAGTTAAACAACCAAATTGTGCACAAAAGAAACTCTGACACGGTTTCTTTAAAAAAAAAAGTGAAAGAACGACCATTTTGAACGAATTGGTGCTCTAACAAGGACGAGTAAAAAACTACTGTCGTAAGATTTAAAAAGTTCAATTTTTAATTTAAATTTAGACAAATTACGATTGATTTTTTTTATAGGTTATTTATTTTATATTTTATTTTAAATGAACCGTATAAATTAATAGATAGCTCAAGTCATCATAAGGGTTCTTTATATTTTTTATAATTTATGGAAAACCGATGGTGGGGCAGAAAAATCTATGAACACTATACTTTTTAAATTTAAAAATGTAAAAATTTATATAAATAAATAGAGTATAATAGACACATTAAAACCTAAATTTTTAACCCGTTTCATATTAAAATGCAGATACAACCAACATGTCTCACACGGTTTTACCCTCCTATAAATTTGTAATGTTTCATATTAAAGTCCAGATACAACCGACATGTCTCACACGGTTTTACTCTCCTATAAATTTATAATGTTTCATATTAAAGTCCAGATTATACCGACATGTTTCACGCGGTTTTACCCTCCTATAAATTTTGTGATGTTTAAAATATGTCACTTTTATTTTTGGTATATTAATGCCTTAACTTACCTTCATGATTGAAATCCACCCTCACATACACGCCATTGAATTTGATGTAGGTTTATATCGTTGATCCAATAAAATATTTAAATAGGTTCTAAGATAAGTTTTAGTTTGTTTTTGTCTTAATTTTATTTATTTAAGACATTGAGACTTGTGTTTTATTGGAATATATGTCAAGTGTTAGTTTTAATTTAGTCTATAAATTATATTTTAGTTACTCTATTTCGTCTTAAAATTAATTCTTTTATTTTAAATTTAAACTATTATTTTTAACTTAAATAGTTTTAATTCATTTCTTATGTTGTTTTTATAGAAAATTGATAACTTTTTAATTTATATTTTTATTTATAAAAGTTCAATAATACATTTTTATACGATAATTTATCATGTTTAATAAATAACTTATCATTTAAAAATTAAAAGAAATCGTTAATTTTAATATAAAAATATAAGAAAATGATAAAAACTGTTTAAATTTAAAATAAGATGATCAAAGTATTTAAATTTAAAATAGATGAATAATTTTGTAAATCAGTTAAAATAAAGAGACCGAAATTGTAACTAAATCTTTAATAATTTACTAAGAATGTTTTAGGATGAAGTTAGATTAGTTTTTTAAAAATCATTCAAGAAAATAATCTCAAATAATATAATGTTTTTTTACGGTATGACTGTGGATTACTTAAAAGTTGTTTTTTATTTTATTTTTTATCATTAGAGCAAAACTTATATGATTTGGGTTAGTATTTAATGCTAGAACCACTTATAAACAGTGAATAAAATTTAAAACAGATTTCTTAAGAAATTCCATGAAAGAGACTCTTATTAAAATAAAATTTCATATAATTTTTATTTAAAAATAAGCTATATAGTTGGAAAAATATTCACATGCAAGTAGGCAACTTGGCTGCTCATGGAATAGATTCAAATAGAATTTGGACCAAATAAAAAACCATCTCACATCTAAAATATGATTCAAAATGTAAGGAAAAAATACGCATATTTTATTTAATAGTTATTCTTATTTAAAATTTTAGGATTCCAATTATCTAGAATAAGAAAATAACTGTTTTTTAAAGCAAGAATTGTCCTCAATAATATTAGGATTAAATGATTCTTTATTTTAAAAAAAATGTTTATAAAAAATAGAACTTAGAGTTCATAAATTTAAAGATTAATAAAATATTTAACTTTAAACATATAAAATTAGTACAATCTTATTATCTAAAATAAGAAAATATTTGTTTTTATAAAGAAAGAATTGTCCTCCATAATATTAAAGCCTAAGAATGATCTTTATTTAATTTTTTATGCTTTCATTTCAAAAATTAATTTTTTGTCTCTCAATTTTACATTCTTTAAAATTTTGTTGATTCCCTTCAATTTTGCATAGATAACAATAATAAATAACACAAAAAAAAAACTTTTAATGATGTGATATTAATGATTAGTTAATAAATTAATAATTTTACTTAAACTTATTTAAAATTATTTATATTTAATATAAATTTTATAGGCATGAGACCCAAGTCTTTGTAAGCTCTTTTCAATATTGCTTGTATTTTTGGCCTTAGTTAAACTTTGATTGGAAATTGTGGCTCTCTTTTCATTCAGGGATGAAGTGAGGAAATTGTATGTTTGCACTTTTAGATTATTGAATTCAATTTAATATGGACAACTGTGATGCTTTTTTATAACCAAGGGGCAATTTGGAATTAAAAAGAAGCACTAGGCGCATTAAAAAAAACTCATTGGATCTTTATGATTTCATTAATGATAACCTTAGGCGCATTGTAGAAAGAGAAGAAAAAGTGGGAATATTAGATAAAATAAAATTTAAAAGAACCACCCTACCTCCATGTTGGACAACTCTGATGCTAATTTCCACATCATTTTCTCTAAATTAAAACATTAAAAAATATTTATTAAAAAATATCTAGTTTCTCGATCAAAGATAATGTACAATTTTTCTTTACAATTTTCTCCATTATTGCTGGTAGATCTTCGTTCGTGAAATTAGTAATCAAACATGTAACATGTTGAATTCGGTATCGTAACAATTTTTTTCTCTTTCATCTTCCTCTTGATTTATATAGCCCAAAAAGCATCAACATTGGATATTACAACTTTTTTTTACTGCCATTGTTGTTATTGTTTTTATTGTTGCTTACAAGGCGCTCTCTCCCATTAGATTTCTATGCAAAGTATGATAAGCATTTCTCATGGAACTAGCTAGAAGACATGAAGCAACAATGAGAAATGTCAATTTAAAAATCATCAACATTGCACATCAGCTATGGGAGAGACAAGAGATGCAATCTATTAAAGTACCACATTATTTTATTTAGAAAACATTTTTGTGTTTACAAAGCTTATTCATGCACTGGCTTTTGAAAAATATTGCCATCAATAACAAATACTCATTAAACAACAATTCTCTTAAGAGGATTGTAATATCTCATA